CTATTTTCTAAAGCGACGTACCCTATACGTCACTGTGACTGTTGAGCAATGTAGTGCCCATGCACTACAGCAGGGGCCCCCCAGGAGTTCAACACTGCAAAGCTGAGGTTTCTTTATCGGTTAGTTGTGGCTTGCAGTTACTAATGTAGTTGCTAATGTAGTTTTTAATGTATTTGTCAAATGGATTTATGGCCTAGGGTTTAGGGTTTAGGGTGTAGGTTTCCTTCTTCTCGCTGCTGAGGGGGAACGACCCGCGTCGAGACAGCAGCAGAAACACAAATACAGAGAGTAGCTTCTCTCTCTCTCACCAGAAGAATACTGGTGCAGTTGCAGCTGCTTCAGAAAGAGGAATACCAGGGGCAGCGTTTATCCTAGCAGCGGCAGCAGCATGCGCAGCAGCAACAGCATCGACTGGTGCCAGTAGCAACAGCAGCAAGGGCCGCCGCAGCGTCATCATGCTTCTGCATCCGCAGAGCAGCAGCTGCAGTAGAGGAGACGAAACTGCCGCTGCAGCCGCCTCTGCTGTTGCTGCTGCTGCCGCCGCTGGCCCCCCTTCACAGCCGGGCGGCTTCCTGCCCAGGGTTGCTGTTGCAGCAACAGCTGGAGACCACTGGCTTCTGCTTGAGAGCAGCAGCAGCAGCAGCAGCGGCAGCAGCAGTGAGGACGACTGCAGCAGCATAGACAGTGATGGCGTCATAGTAACGAGAAACAGGAGCAACAGGAGCAGCAGCAACACCATACTCAACGCATTCCGGCCAACGCACACCTATAGGTGGAGGCGCATCAGCCTCTCCCCAGCAGCAGAAGCAGCAGATAAACAAGGAGAAAGTGTCCCTTCAGCAGCAGCAGCAGCAGCTGCAGCTGCAACAGCAGCAGTGCCAGCCGAAACAGCAGCAACAGGAGCAGCAGGAGCAGCAGAAGCAACAGGAGTAGCAGCAGCAGCAGCAGATGAAGCTGTAGCCCGTCTTGCTGCCTCTGTCAGGAACAATCCATCTGTGTTGCTGCAGCGTGAATGCTTCGGCGATTACTTGCTGCTGCTGCAGCAGCAGCAACAGCAATGGCTGCAACGAATCTGCACCTGCTGCCACGGTGGCAGAGAACCGCAGCTGCACAAACTCCTGCTGCTGCTGCGGAATGCCTTTGCCTTCACTTTCTTGAGGGAAGCAGCAGCAGCAACAGCAGCAGCAGCGGCGACAGGGACAGCAACAGCAACAGCAGCAACAGAAGCAACAGCAGCAGCGACAGAACCAGCAACAGCAACAACAACATTCACCGCCCCAGGTGCTGAACCATCAGATGCAGAGAAGGAAGCAGCAGCAGCAGCGGCAGCTGCTGCTGCTGCTGCTGCTTCTAATGGGCAGGCCCCTCCTCACGGATTTCTTATAGAATGCGGGCCAGGCAAGCCGACGAGTCTGCTGCTGCTGCTGCTGCTGCTGTTGCTGCTACTGCTGCTGCCGCGAGTGATGCTGCTGCAGTTGCTGTTGCTTGCGCTCTTACTGCTGCCCCTGCGGAAGTTGCAGCTACCACTGCCGCTGATGCGGTTTCTTCTTTGCTGCTTCTGGTGCTGCTGTTGCTGCTGCTGCTGCTCCTGTGTGTGCT